TACAACTGACTCGAGATCAAGGAGATTCTAGAAGGTTTTTTTCTGCAAGATCAGTCACTGGGTTTCTTTCTGATGTCTATTCTCCAGCTGCTGATGAAGTTGGAAAAATACATATAATTGCAGACGAAAGGGTTTGTTTCTGTAGTTCTTCTTGGTGCTTGTCTCGTTAGGAATTTGTGTCTGTCTATTGATGTGCTCCTAAACTGTTCAACTTTTTTGATGTTTTGATCATCAGGTTCAGGGGGCTGTATTCGATCTTCCAGAGGAGATTGCAAAGGAGTTACTGAATAAGGAAATACCACCTGGCAACACTATTTCTAAGATCACTAAGGTAAATTATACATTTAATTGCTATGTTCTTCTAATAAACTCTTTATCAAAATACCACATTAAAACACCCCCCCGGGGGCAAACATAATTGGGCACCAGCGTATTGCCTCTCTGAATAATGCATTCTTTGTGCTAGCAGTTGCCTCCTTTGCAAGATGATGGGCCACCAAGTGATTTCTATGGGAAGTTTTCTGACAGAGATCGTAGAGGTTCTAGGGATCGGAGAGGTTTTAAAACCTCACGGAGAGAAGGGGGCTTTGATTCTGATGATGAATTTGGTGATTCATATAGAAGAGGCGGTCGAAGTTTTAGAACCAGCAATAGCTGGTCTCAAAAGTCAAGAAACAGTGGAAGCTTTGATGAATTGTTTGATTCAAATAGGAAAGGTGGTCGAAGTTATAGAAATGGCAATAGCTGGTCTCAAAAGGCAAGAAGCAACGAGGATGATTGGCTAATTGGAGGTAGAAGATCAAGCAGGTCTCCATCGTCAGACAGGTATGATTTCTCCTGACATTTTAGTCTGCCCCTTCTGAAGGTATGCTTTATTTTGTACCTCTCATAGAAAGCATTCCCTCCATCCAACAGATGTTTTATCCTCAATATACGAGGAAAATGTTGACATCTGTGTAAAGGAAAAACTGGGGGTGGGTTTTAGGGGTTTGGTTGAGAAGAGAGATGGCATACTTATTTCTTTGCTTATAATTCTGTTATTTGGTAATTTTGTTCTTGCTTGAGTTATGGGAACCCAGTAAGACCTAAATTTGGCTAATTGTTATTCATTTCATTGCAGAGGCTTTGGAGGGGCTTGTTTTAACTGTGGGCAACCTGGACATCGTGCATCTGAATGTCCCAACAAACGAGGCTTCTAAAATTTATTGTTTCGCCATTCTATAGGTCACCATGCCAGTGGGGGCAAATAGGTTCAGGAAATTAAAAGATGCTTCGCTGGAAGAATTACAGAATTAGCGTTAATTTGCCGTCAGTGGAACGGGTGTCTCCATTTTTGGCCTTGGAGTTCATTCCCTCTCACGCGGGATTTAAAGTTATCATTTGTATTGTATTTGTGATATTTAGCAAGAACAGCAATTATGTACGATCCCGTGTTTCCTTCCCAATTAATATGTTACTAATGTGTTTAATCTCGTTAAATCTCTTATGGTTCAGGGAAAAAAAAAAAGGAATAACCATGCATGAATGGATGGACCGTTAAGAGCTGGTATGATTGTAAAGAAACGTTTAGATGGTGAGACTGGATATTGTTTATTTAGACTTTTGGCACTAGGTTATAATTATATTTTATACGGAAGTAGCTTTAGATACAACTGCAATCAAAATAAATAAAAAGATTGAATTGGGTTGGATAACAAAAACAAAACCATTTTATTAAAATCTAAAATTCAGAAAAATTGTTTTAAATGTCAACGTTGAATCGATTTTAAACATAAAAATGTTCAGATCAGAATAAAATATAAGAGATTTTTTCAATTTAAACTTTTACTATATACTTTACAGGTTCACCATGAAATTAATTTTAAATAGAATAAGCGTGCAAATTTGGTCACGTTATTTTTCTATGCGCACCGGATAGTCTATACTATGTGTAAAATAAATTTTTAATTTTAAATAAATTTATACATTCAATAACTCATTGTTGATTTCACTCGACAGACATTATGTGAGACTTATAAATGATAAGTGGCAGTGCAAATTTAGTCACAAATTATTTTTTAAAAAGTATTGGATAGTTTTTGTCATAAAAAATAGATCATCCAATACCTTGTCATTAATTTTAATCAAACACCATTTATTTTTAAATTTATGAGACTCATAATACGTCAATCTTTTTAATCTTCTTATCTTTCAAACACCATTTATACATTTAGATGGTTTGTTTTTTTATAATAAAGGCTATCTAATGTTTTTAAAAAAGTAATTTGTGACTAAATTTTCATTCTTACACTTGATGAGGTGGCATGCCACATGTCATTTGTGGGCCACACATAATATCCATTGAGTGAAGTTAATGGTGAGCTATTGAATGCTTCGTTTTTCAAAGTTAAAGATTTATTTCACATTACCTAATAATATAAGTTACTCAATGCTTTTGAAAAAAATAGTTGTTGGTTAAATTTGCTATTTTATCCTTTTAGATACTTAAAGATGAGCAACCTATATGAATTAATTTTGAAATATATGCACATTTGTCTGTATACATACTTACATAGAGTTGAAAATATAGGTCAAGTTATATGATTTGGCCCAAATAATTGGTCACATGGGTTGGGTTAGGTTAAACAAATTGACCCAAATAAAAGCAAGTTTTTTTTTTTGGTCCAAACCAAATAACTTGTAAACCATATGGAATAACAATAATGAGTTAGGATTGGCCTATTTAATTCATATTATTTTTTTTTTAAAAATAAAAATATAAAAAATGGAGGAATATTGTAGATTCACGACATTTGATAAATAGATGGTCATGATTTGGTTGACTTAATTCACATATTTTATATAAATATATGGGTTAACATTTTAGTGTATTTAAAATGAATCATAACATGAAGGAATATCATATTAAAACTTATCATCATTTTTATTTAGGTGTATTTTTAAAAATTTATAAAAAATAAATTGAAAAATAAAATAAAATGAGTTGACAAGTTAGTCCATTTAACCCACTAATTCTCAAGGGTTGAAATTTCAACCATATAAAAATAAGTTGAACTCTATTTAATGTATATTATTCCTAATTTATATGGACCAATTAATATGACCAGGGTTGGCTCATATTCTCAATCTATATCTACATAGTCACACTTCCCATGAAACATAAACACTATAGTCTACCTTGAACTTCACGTAAATTGGCATCCATGCTTAGGTTCGCACTAGGAGATTCATTTTAACGAATTAAGCTCTCGCATTTTAGATGTGCAGCTCGAGAATGGAATAGATAAAGTACCAAATATGAGTATTCATTATTAAGTACACTGATGCAGTTTTTCTTTCATTCAAATTGCAGGGCTTGTATCATTAAGTGATTGCCAACGTTCCATAAGTAGACGTGGCAGATGTCAAGAATAAGAACGACGCGGCCAAGCTGGTCAGTATTTGTCGCATTTAAATGCTTTTCGACCTAGAATAGGATGGCTGAAAGTAATTTAAACAAGGTTACCCACTGCAAATCAACAAAAGCATGCGTCCAAAACAAAGAACCCAGAAAACAATACTGCGGGTGACACAACTCTTATCTCAGTTAAAATTCAAACAACCCGCTGTGACCATACCGAGACGTTCGCTAGTTACCGGCCAAAAAGAATACACAAGACGGTTCTGAAAATGGGACCCCTCTTGCTACTCAGAACTTCCCTCACAGCCTTCTCATCGGCAACAAATCCCTTGGCCTTCATTTGCTCCAAAAACTCTCCTGCCTCTTCCGTTTTGTCGTCCCTAGCCAGTGCCTCAAACACGGCGGTGTAGGTCCCAGCATTGGGTTTCATGCCCTTCTCCATCATTTCCAACACATACTTCTTGGCATCTCCCAAAAACTTGGAATCAGAAGCAAGCCCCTTGATAAGAACGGTGTAGGTATAAGCATTGGGAGACACCCCAGAAGCCAGCATGCGCATATAAATTTTGAGAGCCTCCTTGGGCTGACCAGCATTAGCATAGGCCTCGATGATGGACGTGTGAGCCACCACGTCGGGCATTTGACCCTTGTCTTTTATCTGACGGAACAGCTCCAAAGCCTCGTGGGTGAGACCGTCTTTGGACAATGCGTCGAACATCTTGACTGCGTGATTTAACAATCCGTCACCGCTTCTCATGTTGTGGAAAATCTCTTGCAAATCTTTCGGATCCTTGGGCTCTTCTATCGGCGGCTTCTTATTAAAGGGGTCATAAGGCGGCGGCAGCTTCCTGTTCTTGTCAGTTTCTTTCCGGGCATCTTTTGAATCGTCCTCATTTTCACTCTCAGAGTCAGAATCGGATAGAGAAAAATTGACCTTGGTGTCGAACTTCTTCTTGGCGGGGTTGGCTTCAGAACTACAAAACAGCCTAGTACTAGTATTGCTGAAATTGGCGATTTTAAGGAAATGATATGCAGAGGAAGGCAAAGGCGATGCAGAAAATCTGCATGGGAGGTGATTACAGAAGAAAGAGGAGGCAAAGGAAATATTGCTATGGTTATTGGCGAAGATTAGAGCACGACATATAGCGGAGACGGTGACTTTTCCACTGAAAGCCATTGATATGCTCTCTCGTGGGTGCTCTCTCAGTCACTTCCCTCTGTCAAGCTCTCCCTCTTCCCATGCTTGCTTCGATTTCTAATGCTTCTGGAAGATTCGGCCCCGGACGCCAAATACTATTAATTTTTCTATTATCATCAATAAAAAAATATATAATATATAAATCCAGATACTTCATAAATTGTGAATAATAAACTTAATTTAATAATATAAATAATTTCAATATTTAATAATGCTGTACTTGAAAGTTGAAACCCTACTCCTCTGTTCTAATTGTCGAGGCATATACTATCTCATATGAAAAGAATTAAAAAGAAAATGTTGGGTGATAAATCCTTTTGATAATTATTTGATCAAATGATATTGTAATATTTTAAAAATATCTTTAATAAAAACCACAGACTGTAGTCTACAGTAGCATTTTTTACCGATTTTCCTTCACCTCCACATTGCCTTCGCAATCTCTCAGAACTCCTCCGCATCCAGTAGGCCCCGGGTCACCCCTACGTGATCCATCGCCAGCGTCCGCTAACAGTTGCACTTCTCATTCAACTTAACTTCGAGCCTTCAAGAATGGCATTTTTTTTCTTCATATTGCAGATCAGGCTGTTTATCCGTTAGCAGTGATGTTTCTCCAGATGATAAATTTTGTCAGCCTGAATATTGAACGTAACATATGAATCACTCAGTGTCGTCGTTTGTTGGAAATTTGAGTTCATGGGCAATAGCTTTGAGAAATGTCTCCTCTCCTCGGAAAGCCCTACATTTCTACTCTCAAATGCACCGCAATGGGGTCCCTTTTGATAGCTTCTGCATTCTCTTCACCTTAAAATCTTGTACTCCTCTGCAGGACGCCGCCATCACTCGTCACCTTCATGCCCATATCGTCAAGCTTGGCTTTAGCTCTCACGTTTATGTGGCAACATCTCTTCTGAACGCCTATATCGCCGCTTCCTTCGCGGATGCTTGCCTATTGTTCGACGAAATGCCCGAGAAAAATACAATATCGTGGAACACGATGATAACTGGATATTCAAGGCGAAGGGATATCCAAGGAGCACGGTCAGTTTTCGAGAAAATACCGCACAGGGACGTGGCCTCGTGGTCTGCCATGATTGCTGCTTACACGAATAATGGATATTATGAACAAGGTTTATCACACTTTCGACGTATGGTGGGGCATGAGAGAGTTAAACCGGATAAAATAACTACTACATCAGTTTTATCAGTCTGTACCCACATGGGCTCTCTTGGATTATTAGCCGGAAAATCTGTTCATGGTTTCATGATGAAGAATGGATGGGACTTGAGTGTGGTATCGGGTACCGTCCTAGTTAGCATGTACGCTAAATGTGGGTGTTTGAAATTTGCTTCCCATGTTTTTGCGCTGATGCAGGAAAGAAATGTCATATCTTGGACTTCACTGATCTGCGGCTTCGCTCAACATGGGTACAGCGAAGTAGCTTTAGCCATATTTGAGAAGATGCAGCTAGCGGGAATCAAACCCAATGAACTGACTTTTACAGGTGTGCTCAGTGCTTGTGTTCACGCTGGTTTAGTCACGGAGGGACATGAGTATTTCAAGATGATCCAGAGGTGCGGGCTAGAACCAAGGATTCAACATTATGGATGCGTGGTTGATTTGCTTGGGAAAGCAGGGAAGCTAGAGGAAGCTTACGAGATAATCAAATCAATGAAGCTTGAACCAAACATTGTTGTATGGGGATCTTTCTTGTCGGCTTGCAAGGAGCATGGGCAATTTGAGATGGCTGAGAGAGTGATTGGGCAGGTCTTGAGGATGGTGAGACCTGAAAATGATGGAGGGATGTATACGCTCATATCCGATTTGTATGTTTTGAGGCACAAGTGGGAAGAGGCTGAAAGGCTGAGGCAATTGATGATTGATGCCAACGTGAGAAAGGCCAGGGGCTCCAGTTTTGTCCGAACTTGAAATTTACGAATATACCATTGAAAAATAAAATATATATAATTATTTGTTCATATACTTTTACTCTTTTATTTGATATTAGTTTCTATATTTTTTTCATTATTCTAAGTTTCTTAAATTTTATTTGTTGTAACGTTAATTCTTATTATCATTGACAGAATTGGACATGCTGATGTGTATATAATTCTATTGATTTTATTGTTGAGTTGACAAGATCATAATAAGTTGAACATTGTATGAGTAAAATGATTATTAGCCTTTTTGCCTATTTGTCCTGGCTGTTGTTGTGTTTAAGAATTACTCCCTCTGGCTGAAATGATAAGACGTTTTTTCTCAACTATCTTGATTCAAAATATAAAATACTTAGTAGGTGTTTAAATTTTTTTTATTTTACTCTTGTATTTATTAACTTGGTTTGTTGTGTAATCTTATTAGTAATTATTATATTTTTCTCACTTTTTATGATAGTTAAAATTTTATTAATCTACAACTAGGTTTACGCTTTCTCGTGTTATAGTACTTCATTAAAAAAAAATTGTCCCTTCTAATTTAATTTATTATTGACAATTGAGAAAAAAGGTAAAAAGAAAAAAAATATAATATTTATAACTAAAAACAAGAATATAACTGAATTCTAGTAGTGTTTGAATTATAGTTAAAAGTATTTTATATTTTGCACCGAACAGGGTATGATTTAATGATGTTTGATTTTTTTCTCTCTCCTTATAGTCATGTTTAAAAATATAAGCACTAACATATACATAAATTTTAATGTACTTAGAGCAATAAAAAAAATGCATAAACTAATACCAAAATATGTTAAAATTAAAGGGACAAATAGTTACATTTTTTCAAAAATAAAGTAATAGATATTTTTATTTTACAGTAAAATACACTGATTTTCTCTCTATTTTATCTTAATTAAAAATATATTTTTTTCATTTTTAAACCATATGTGAACTTCCTTTAAAATTAATAATTAATAATGACAAACACAAACTTCTCTTGTATTTTTATAATTTTATTTTCATTCATACACTTATTAGTTGACCATTAAGTTACATGTATTGATCCAAATATTCTTTATTTATTATCTAAAATTCATTCACGTTACTAAAAAAACAAAGTTAATGCATTTTTTCATATTTAAAATATTTTTAGTTATATAAACTTATATTTTCAATATTTTTTATAAAAATTAAATATATAAATTAGTTAAAATAATATTTCAAATCCGTATATAAAAAATTAATGAAATAGAAATTTAATATGACAAGAAATAAATTAGTTAATAAGATTTAAGTTTGTCTTTTTAAATTTTATTAATTTTAACACAGTATTGGATTATTTATTTAAATTTAAATATTATTATAGTTAATTATTTAAATTTTTAAAAATTGGGGGAGATAGAGTAAACATTTAGATTACAAGGTTAATTAATAATTTTAAAATTTTTAATATAATTATAAATAAAAAATTAAGTATTTTAAATTAAAATATTTATTAAAAATTAGATTAAAATGTAGGTTATTAAAACAATTAGGAAGTTTATGTAATTTTAAAGGTTAAAATTTATTTTTTCCCCTAAATTTTACTCTTAAAAATACTTAGTGTCCTAAAACTCTACTTTAATTCAATTAACCCCTTAAACTTTAAAAATGAATCACCTAGTATCATATCTTTAAATTGATGCTAATGAACATTGAGGGAGCAAGTAGGGCCCACAAATTTGAAGAGTTGGCAATTGTGTGTCTCCATCTCACAATCTCATCCCCCTTCTTTCTACCTTGTCATCAGATAGAGCCGGTAATTTGGGCCAAATTTGATGGGTTAGCCTGAACTTATTAGAAAAAATTTAGGGCTGAGCATAGAAAAATTTTTTTTGTTATCTTCAGGGTTATTCGAGCAGGCCCAAATATCTAAATAAAAAAATTATTTTTTAAAAATATAATATATAATAAATATTAATTAATTCTTTAAGTTTTAAGTCATTTTATACTAAAATACCATATATTTGAGTCCTATACATTATTTAAGTATAAAAAATATATTATAAATTTTTTATAAAATAAAATAATTAGTTTTAAAGTAAAAAATTAATTAAAAATAATTTTAAAAGTAAAATTTGAGTATTCGAGCCGAACTTGTCTATTCAGGCTTTTTAGGGAGTCCGGCTTGTTTGGGTCTAAGCTTATTGGAGCTGAGCTCGAATAGGCCCAATCCGCCTGAATTCATAGCTCTATCATTAGACATATCACCCCCTTTCTTTATGCTTGAACTCGTCATGCCTTTGGCCCAAAAAAGATCTCGTTGTCTCCCCTTCTCTCCCTCGTCCACAATTTCATTGGTGAATCTCTTCATCCTTCCCATCACTATTCACTTCACCAAGGCCCTTTGGCTTCCTAATCGCTAGTGAATTTGATGCTCCCTCCTTTATTTGACCTCCAATCACTGGTAAGTCTCTCATATGTCAAGCTTCCACAGTATTTGAAAGGGAAGTAGAGTCAGGGGATTGTGGTGGATCTTTTAAGGGAAGGAATTTTCACAATTGATTATGAGAAATGGAGACAGCAAAGGGAGCTTGCAAGCTTCAAGTTCTTGAGTAGGGTTCTTATAGAATAAGGAATTCAAAAATGAAAGAAAAGGAATTGGGAAAGTTTCAAAAACCCCTGTTTTTCTCGTGAGGAACAGAGCATCAAACAGCATGATTATTTCAAAATAAGTGATGCTATTTCAAAATAGTAAAAAATAATCTAAACAAAGATGCTGAGAGGTTATTTTAAAGTAAAGAACTTATAGCGGAAGAGAAATATGATTTATTGATCTAAAGTTCATTATTTGAAAATAAGTGAGGTTGTTTTCAAATAAGCTATTTCTGAATAAGTAGTAATGAGAAATGTATTATGAATAGCTTTACTATTTCAAAATAAGGCAAGACTATTTTGGAATAAGCTATTTCAGAATAGGTAACATGTGGACACTTAGGAATAAGAGCAAGACAAAGGAATAAGCTATTTTGAAATAGTGATGCTTATTTTGGAATAAGGATCCATTTCAAGTAACTGCCAAAGGCTTTCATAATTTGATTTTTGAGTCTTGCTTAACTTGAGATACCTTCCAATCAATATAAAATGTCCTTAAAAAATTAAAATCAAATCAAATACTTAAATTTAAAGAGAGAAATAGATAAAAAAAGAATACTATAGTTGCTTTAGTTAGAGCTAGGAATTAGGCCTGAATAAGCCCAAACAGTCCCAATTTCCTGAAAAGTCCAAATAGTCAAGCCCGACCTGAATATTCAAATTTTATTTTTAAAATTATTTTTAATTTTTTACTTCAAAATTAATTATTTTATTTTATAAAAAATATAAAAATATTTTTTGATACTTAAATAATATATAGGACTCAAATATATGGCATTTTAGCATAAAATAACTAAAAACTTAAAGAATTAATTAACATTTCTTATATTTTATATTTTTTTTGTTCAGGTATTCAGGCCAAACCCTATTAGCCTCAGACTGAATTTTTTCATGCCTACTTAGGCCGGCCCGAACATAAAAATGTATTTTTTTTCATAAGCCTGGCTCTTAATTTTTTTGGACAAATTCAGGTTAACCTGTCGGGCTTGGCCAGAATTATATTATTTAGTTTTAGTATTCCGTAGGTATTTGAGAACAAGGCACTTGTTTAGAAATAAGCATGCTTATTTGGGAAAAAGGCCAAAAGCCAGAAATTTAAAGCAGTGAAGATGAACTTCCTTGTAAACCATTAATATATGTTAATTAAATTTGTAAAATACAAAATTTTTTTATTTTATTATTATCAAAATTAGGGTTGAACAATTTTTTTTTCTTGACTTTAACATCTATTTATTGCCTTGCTGTTAATCAGATCAGGAGAATCAACTAGTTAATGCGAATGCTTGGCATGATCTTGCCACGGGCCCAGAATAGAAGTTGTATTCATCAACGAGTATCATACTTCATAGTAAGTAGATGGTGTTTCTGTGTTGTGTGTTACGTAATCCATTTCGTACTTTTATCAAGTCTGGTGTTGAACTCTTAGATTTTGTTTTGTCATCTACGTTGTGTAATTAGAGAAGGAATGTTAATGAGACATCGTCTTTATTAGTTGGCCTCCTGAGAATGTTAATGAGACATCGTCTTTATTAGTTGCCCTCCTGAACTATCTCATTTATTTTAGGGAAAATCATACAGAAGTCTAAGTAAGGATTTAATCACTAAAAAGTCCTCTGTGTGGCAAAATATCACAGGATGACATGAAAAATGACATAATGTTTAGTGGTCAATCATGATTGTTGGCATTAGAAATTACCAGGCTTATAATTCTGGTGTTGCCTATGTTAATTTCAGATCAGGGCACCCTAATACTAGTTGCTGCTAACATGCTCCCTCTTTAAATCTGAGTACTTAACACTTCATCCCATATCTTCGAAATTGATCAAAATGAATCTTAGTTCATCTTAGCCTTGTTGACCGGAATACTCCACTAACACGCATTTCCAACAAGGTTGGATCTAGAATATTATTAGCTAGCCCAACTTCACATCCTCAGAAGTACAAGTTTCACACGTAACGTGTATTTTCTTTGACACAGGCCGTTAATCCATCAAGTATCACATGACATATTGACTAACAAACACTTATCTTTTAATGGGTCATTTTACTCTACTCTAATGTTTTTGGCACTATAATTTGCAATTTTATACGTAGTTTAACTTCTGACCTAAAAATGATTATTCTAAGTAACCTGCAGAAAATGTAAATTTGTCCTGACCCCTAGGGGGTTAAAAACATCATGCATAGAATGGTTGTATTTATAATGCATCAAATTTAAGGATTACAAATTACGAAAATATAAAAAACAAAGAAACCAGCTTTTCAGTGTTATAGGATTCCTCTTGGTAACGAATCAGTTCAGAGGCTTGTTACAAACTACTAGATTTCCTTCAATGGAATGCTTTTTTTACGAAAAAAGAAAAAAATAACTTAAATCATACAATCATCTCCTATTTGCAAATATCAAAGGTACAGTGAGAATACTAATCACGCGAGGAAGTCTCTCAAAGATGCTACAATTGGTCGTATGCTGCTCTCCTTAGCATCCGCTACCTGTAGCAAGACATATGGTGAAGCTGAATTTCTTGTAGATGCAGCTCGAACGGTTTCCCCTCT